CTGTTTTCCTGTTCTGTGTACCAAAGCACATGTCTAATGGATCTAATTAAGCCAATACAAAACTCTCCAGATTATTAAATATTGTTCCATTAAGGAAATAGTATTTGAAGTCGTATTTTTGTTGGCTGAATTATAGTTGAAGACATAGTGGCTATGTGTTGAAGGTGAACGCAAGGAGAGGTCAGTATGACCAAACCTGTTTCTTGTTTAAAAGCATCTGCCCAGCCTCTGGAAGGAAAAGCGTAGCCAGTTGCTGAGGGTAGGATTTGCGTGCTTGTAGTACGACATGCTGTCTGTAAGCTGTGCTTCCTCGGGGTGTGGGGGGGTATATTTAACAAATCTCAAAATACATAATGTGAGAACATTTTTTATGTCTAATGGCATTCTTACAGACTAGTTTTGAAAATAGGCTTTTTTTAAGGTAGTCACTTAAATGACTAGTCATAGTAATGTAAATTAAGTTACTCGCTGGCATAGAACAGCTATGATTCTGTACATAACATGCTTTTTGTTAGTTGAAGATTTTTATGTTGAAATAGTAAATCATTTGTGATTACCAATAAAAACTGGAATTAGGTCCTACCTAATTTTTTTACCTTGGTATCATACTTTCAACAGAGCGTTTCTTGACGTGCTGTAGAACTGCACAGAGATGGGACAGTCTGTAAATAAAAAGGGGGCTGTGATAATATATTGCAAAAGAATGCTTATTGAGGACTACTGGAGAGATGAGGTGGGAAACAACTAAGGCAGGATCTACATGTACACACACTTAGCTCAGAAGATCAAGTCTATATAATACAATGACGTCTGTCACTGACAGCGCAGTGACTCAAGGTATGGCAGTAGATCCTGCACTTTAAGATCTGTTTGGACTAAGTAACTGATGTAAATAAGATGTATCTCTCTTGAACCAGTGCTGACAGTGATTCACCTGTAGGAGCTGATGGATAAAACAGCTTTCAACACCTTGAAGTCCTTAGAAGTTTCCAGTTATGATGCTAAAATGTGCCTGTGTTGTTTATTCCAGCAGTGAAACCATCTTTGTCACTGCTGTGGGAGCTGGGCAACAGCTGGTCGTTGTCCTGGTGGTGGTAAATGCTCATCCGAAGCTCCAAGGGTTTAAAAGCATGACAGGGACACCTATAGTCAGATATAGTTTATCTGTCTTTAGTTATAGGCACAGAAGAACAACTCATGTTTTAACTTTAAATTAATCCTTAGAAATATCACTAAGGTGTATTCGCTATAATTTGATCTTCTATGTAATAAGTGAGTATTGTTAAAAGTAATGGAAAGAGCTGTTTGTAATGGTGTGCAGAATATGACGGGAAATACATTTTTTCACCAAGTTAAATTAAAACATTTCCCTAAGCTTAAAAAAGTCTGAAATGTAACTGTGGCTGTTCATAGGAGCTATGGAGTAGAACTACACTTGTTTAAAGAATGAGTTGTATAAGCATTCGTACAATAAAGGAGATGGAAGATCTGCAAAGACCTTAATTATTCTCTCGTTCTTTGTAACTTATATCAGGTTTTGTGTTCACAGTTAAATGTTTCCAAGTTAAGATGAAAAAGAATATTGAAATGAGTTGCTGTACTTATGTGACTTGAAAACCTTTATAGCTGGTGGGTTTTGTTGAGGAATTTCAAAGAAAATACATCTTCATTAATATCTTCATGCAGCTATACTGAAGTATAACTCAATGATTGTTTGTACCCACTTCCAATTAAAATTTATATTAATTTTTTTTAAGAGTTTTTAAGTAGTAGTCATATTTCCAAGCTGAGAGGGAGTCTAGTCTGAATGATGGCCTATATCGATATATTATTTAAAGCATACATTATCTGATAAATATTCCACCAAAATACGGTACGGTTGTTATCTTCTGGTTTCTTAGCTGCGTAAAGTGATCCATATTGTGTGTACATTTGCACGTCTGTGTGACAGAGATACAAATGATCGCTACTTATGATACGTGGTTTCCTTCCTCTGTTTTATGTGATAGTATTTTGGTAGCAAACTATATCAGGGTGCTGATAATACATCAGTGTACAGACGTTTTAAATGAAGCTCGCACTGTGTCTTAACTAATCATCAATATGTTGGTGATCTTTGCCAAACAGGCAAGTTTAATTGTCCTGTATAAGCCCTAGTAATACTGTTTTTTCTTCCTTACGCTTAAAACTGCAAGCTTGATCATAAGCTTCCTCTTTTGGATACACTTCGAAGTCAGATTTATATGAAGCGTCAAGCACAATAAGGAACTTTGTGTGGTTTTTATCAGCTTAGCAAAGCACTGCCAGTAATCTTGCTGCATCTTGCAAAAAGACTTTTTGCAAAGGGGATGAGGTTAAAAAATATCCAAAGAGTTACAAATGTGAAATATTCAAAGGTTATAAAATCAAACCTAAAAAAGGGTTACCTGGTTATTTGATCCCGTGAAGCTGCATTAGGTTCTCATTTGATGCAAATTAGATGTTTCTCCATGACACTTTTGCTTCATTCAGAGCAGAGGATGCAGTTTATGTTCCTGGTTCCCGCGCAGGAATAAAACAGAAGGCAATTTTCTGCACAGCTGAACTGAGAAAGAAGTCTGCAACTCAACATCATCTTGGTCTTGACAGGGTTTACATAAGGTGCTCAGGTCTGGGCGTATTGATTCACCTCTATTCCTCCCCCGTTCGCATAAACCAACATAAAGGGTGTATGTAGGCGGTAGTTGGTGTCACACAACATGCAAACAGATACCCACACAGATGTAGCGATATGAAAAATATTAAAACGGAAAATATTCCACACTGCTGTTAATAGACAGTCCTGCTCATGTAAGGCATGGATGTAGGAAAGGACTGTAAGTCTAAGTAGCTTTTCTTTTGAAAATGAAAAGAAGTGCTTTTTTCATGTACAACGTAATTAGGTATTACAGGATAATTGCCTCTTAAGTTAAATATCTTCATGATAAAAGCAAGCAATGTATACAGATAGGTTGAATGCCCTATAGAAAAGACAGAGTGGTGCACTAGGCATCTCAAATTTTGTAATAAATTGGCAGATGCTCCTATTAAACTGCAACCCTGATACAGCTGAGCGGTTACTTCGTGTGGATTGCTGTTTCGTTTCTCGATCATGGAACAGATGGCAGCTAATCCATTGCAAGAGCAAGGGAAGGCACCACGTCCCTCTTAAAAACAAAACAAAACAAAAACCCAAAAAAACCCTACAAGAGCTTCAGGAGAAAGATCGTATCCACTGGATGATAAAAGGCAGCTAACTGTTGTAGACCACAAGTTGTTTGTTGGGGTTTTTTGGGGGGGGCTGTTTCTGGTTTGCTTTTCTCTTGAAAAAATATTCAAGATAAGGAGGGTGTGGTGGTGTATCTGCTGAAGGTTGAGCACATTGTGGTGTTGGCTTTACTCCCTTCAAAGCACAAACCTGCTGCCGTCCTCTGTCGCTTGTGTGATGTGCGAGCTCTTTGTTTTTGGCTAGTTCTTGTGGGGTTGTTTTTTACCTGCCATTTTATTTCGGGCCACTCCTGATATGACTAAGATCACGTACTTTGACATCTGTCTGGTCTAGAGGAAGGCAGCAAAGCCTGCTGGTAGCTCACCCCGCTGACAGTTTTAGTTCATTGCTGATGAAGCAGCAGGTCTTACATCCTTGGCAAGCTGATGGAACGCTAACCCCTTGGTTTTTAGATAAGCGACACCCAATTTTGCAGACAAGCAATGTGAAGCACGCAGTGTGCATCTGGCCAAAAGCTGCACAGTATCACCCCCTTGGCTAACAAGAGCGAGACCGTCCTTTCCCTGAACGCATGGAGTACAGCAGTAGGAATATCATGTCAAGGAAAATTAAACCAAGGCAAGTCCCAAGAATTGCAGCGTTGGCCACGCTTCACCTTGCTGTGCTCCATATCGGTGCGTGCTTATAGGTGGCATGTTCGTTTAGGATAAGCTGCATCCATTTTGGGTGTGAATGAAGCAGAAGTGTCTGCTTGAAACTACGATGGACAAATTTAGCCACAGTTTCCTTTCTTCACCTCTCGTCCTCCCCACCCCCCCCCCTCCCCAGCCATATTTAGCAACCATTGCCAATTAGGTGATGCAAATTTAAGGCTGTAGAATTATCAACTTCGGAAAAATAGGTGGAAAAACTAGATATCTATTAAAAATGGGGTTTGGGAAGAATAATTTCTGTTGCTGTGCAGGGAAGAGTAAATGACCCCTTACACTCCCTTGCAAAACACAAATAGAGTATTTAGCTTGACAGAGTCCACCAACACTTCGGAAGAAGCTGCAGTTGCATTTTTAAGGATTGCTCCGTGCACGTGGGCTCTCCCTCGGAAGACTGGCACCTTTGCCGCCGCGGGCAGCACGCCGCTGTGGCCCTGCTGCAGACCCTGCTTTGCTGGTGTGGCATTGACCAGTTTTGCTTCCTTGTCTGCTGTGCGGAGGTGGCAGGTGGAGCTGTGGATGTTGCGATGAGCTGGGATGTCTCCTCACTTGTTTCAGCCTTGGCCGGGGGCATGCTGGGTTTGCCCCAGCTGTCCTGTTTCATAGACCATCAGAACAGCAGTATTGTGCCAGACCCCTGTCCCAGTGTTCCCAGCAGTGACAAGCTGGGTATGCCTAGGGCAT